TGCTCGTTCGACTGGGCTGACTGATGAATGGCCCATTGCATGGCAGCACCCCTGCTATTTGGGCACTTTTGTGTCCCTCCAGGACTCTCCCTCCCTACTTCCCAAGATGCAGACCCCAGGATTGTTAAAATGTTATGACATTGCAGGGGATGATACAGTGTGTATTAACAGAGTCAGATCTACCTTCTCTGTCCTCAAAATCCAATTGGAGGAATAACATCCTATAAAATTCTTGAGTCCCTGGCTGTGTGAGATTCATCTATTCAGAGCTGGACTCAGCAGAGGTCAGGTATGGTTAACCTTATTTCCCTCCATATGTTGGTGTGTTTGTTCACATGTGAGGTTCTTAGAACTCATTGGCTCATCTTTAGAGGAGCTAGAGTGGACTAGGTCAGCAAGACTTCATGTTTACATTCTTGCCTAACACTTCACTCCAGGGAAATTCTGTTCTTCTTCAAACCCAGGTTAAATCTCATCTCCTTTAGTGGACTCTTAGTACACTCTCCCCATTCCCAAGCAGAGGGAATTATTCTCTTTTCTCTGATCCCACAGACATTTTCACACTGTTGCTTCTCATTCATTCATCTTTTCATCTCCATATTCTTGGTCCCCAGCAAAGAGTATGGCATGTAATTGATGCTTCATAATTTTCTTTGATAACCAATACAGGAGGTCTCTCCAGATAGCCAATGCAGGTCATCAAACCAAATCTGGCTGCCATAGGTTATTATAAGTAAAGTCTTATTGGAACACAGCCACACTCATTTATCTATATCCTGTCTATACTCATGCCACAATAAGCAGAGCTGCAGAGATATGACCAACCGTATAGCCTCAAATCTCAAATATTTGTTATCTGGCTTTACAGAAAAGCTTGCTGGCCCCTGGTCTAGGCATTCATTTCCTTCTACTCATCATTGCTGGGTAAACTCTGAACATGTCTTAGTTCCTGGTTGCCATTTATCTAGATTTTTTAAAAATAATATGCCATTATTTTTGGTTGGTTAAGTTACTACAAGGTAATAATTAATTTACGGCTGTACTTGCCTGCAGTTTCAAGGCTAACGATGTGCTGGTATTACAGAACAACTAATTGAAGTTGGCTGTTTTCAAAATTGTGTCAATACCACATTTACAAATCATCATTTTGTTGTCATATTTGAGGAACCTCAGTGGAAGTGGGGTAGAAAGAGCCCCATGGTAGCTGGGTAAATGATAAACATCTAACCCCGTTTCAGTTGAAGCAGGAGGAAGTGTAAGATTATTTCCAGAGGTTTGTAAGAAAAAGTTATATGACCGTAGAAAGCATGACAATATTTTTCTCATGCTTATTCTTTGAGTAACCTAATAATAACGCTTTGGTTTCTAGACTTCCATAGCAGTGGACCTTTGTTCAGACAAGGTTAAGAAGAGTAAATTAAGTACTATCAGCTTTCTACTTATGATTTCTAGAGATTCTAAGTTTATATGTGGCTATTAGCACATTGGCTGACACAAAACATGCCTTCAAAAGTATTCGCTGAATTAATGTCCTGGCAAATAGAACCGGCTTTGCAAAATCTTTACAGGATTATTTTATTATTGACATATTGCATTAGGTCCTTATACATTTGAAATAGTAAATTTTATCATTGCTCAGAGGAGGGGCGAGGTTACATCCAGCTGTGATTGGTAAATTAAGACTTGACAATTTGAGGGACCATCGAAGGACTTGGGGGGAGAAGGATGGCCAAGGAAGGCAGATAAGGCATGGAGGTGGCATTAGCAGAGACAGGCACACATGTCTCCCTGCCCAGCCTGCCTGAAATGAAGCAGTTGTTTTATGCAGGTTAAATTGTTGCAATTAAAATTGAATAGGAAGGTGAAGTCATTAGCTCTAGAATTTAAGTGCCTTGAATACCTCACCATATTACTAGGCAAACACAGATGTTTGAACGGAGGAATAAAAAGGAAAAAAAAAACCAAACATGAGGTGTGGGGAAGGTGAATCAGGAGACACGGGGAGGGATGACCTGGAAGGAGGAGCAGTAGACATTGAGGGAAAGAGCGATGCAAGAGCCCGTGAAACGTAAGCTGCCTAGATGCAGGGGAAGGAGGTGAGGAACTCCGACCTTGACGACAGGGCCTCTGACCTCAGGAAATGTGGCCCTGTCATTAGTAGACACTGGGAAGTCAGAGATAAAGGGCAAAGACAACTCATTTTTTAAAGGCATTTTTTGCATTTTTTAAAAAAAGATTTTATTTATTTATTTGACGGAGAGAGAGAGAGAGCACAAGCAGGAGGGGAACAGCTGAGGGAAAGGGAGAAGCAGGCCCTGCACTGAGTGGAGCCCAACCAGGACCCTGGGATCGTGACCTGAGCCAAAGGCAGATGCTTAACCGACTGAGCCACCCAGGCGCCCCTTAACTCATGTTTTTAATGAAGAAGGTTGTGAGCTCAGGAGACAGGCTGGGCTAGGGCCAGACCTGGCAGTCCCCAGAGGATAGGAAGAAGTCAAGAGTCTGGGGCCCAGGAGAGGAAGGATAGTTCAATACAAGAAAAGGCCATCACACTTAGTCATGGGGAGACCGTTTACTGCTTTGAAACTGAAGGCCAGATTGCCAAAGCCTGGAGCCGCAGCGCCTGAACTGGGGGTTCAGACTTCCGATTGCTCTTGAGGGTAGTGTTGGAGAGATTTCAGAAAGCCTATTGGAAATTTTGCGTAAAGCTAAATAAATAAACAAAAACAAGTCACTCTTTTTTTTTTTCCACTTTTCCTGAAATCATACCAATCCAGTGTCGGTTTTTGTGCGGACTGGACATTCTAATGTGCACTGTGGGTAGATTTGATTGATTTAAAATAGAGAAGTGCATTATTCCTTAATCTTGCCTCTTCAGCCTTTTGAAAGCATTCATTTAAGTGTTCCTTGGAACACACTTTGGCAAATGTGTGAGATAATGATGTGAGGTTGCCTAGCAGCAGGCTCTGTAATGGGCAGAATCAGGGTTTTAGTCCCAAGATGTCCAAATAACTGCAACACTAAGAGGTTACAGAGCGTTTCCATGTCCATTGTCTCATCTGGTCCTCTCACCACTCGTTAAAACATCGCCCTGCTGCCTCCAATTCAGAAAATAATTAGGCAGTCTACTTTTAAACTTCGCACAGTCCTAGCCATTAGGAGTTGCTTTGGGATTGCTCTGGAGGAATCCAGCACTTTTTTTTTCCCTTCAGCTTCTATGAAGGAAATTGAAATCCTGCCTTTTTTTTTTTTTTTTTAATGTCCATTAGCAAAATCACCTCAGAAGGCGTTTGGGCCGTGTCTGTAGATTTTCTTTATGTATATGCGTCACATCTGTGGCCATTTAATTCAGACACCCAACATAATGATGCAAATTTCCGTAATTAATATCTGAGGCTAGAAGTGGATTTTGACGTGGACATATTTCTGACGCTGGTGTTCCATTATGTACATTCCAAGGGATTGATTGTTGTAATCCAAGTATCGTTAACTGAAAATATGGAGGGCTCATTGCTAAAAATCCTTAGTTTGTAAGCCTCCCGTTCTGCTTCTTCAGAGCTTTGAACATAAACTCCTGAATAAGAACGGCGTGCATAATTCATGTTGTGTGTGTGTGTGTGTTTAGAAATTTATCCTGAAATACAATTAGGAGCAAAATTAATTAGCAAGGTTAATTAAACACTTCTGTAGGAACACTGTTCTGTCTACATTCCATGCCAGAAAGTTGCTGGAATATTTTAATAATTTTACAAAGATAGAGACAGACACCAACAGACAGTTAGGAAGGAGTAGTTTCACACACAAATATGCATTAAATTTAACACATCCTTTGTTAATCATCTCAGATCACTGCATATGCTGAACAACATCCTTTGCTAAATAGTTCCAGGTAGAGCTGTAGGAATTATCTCCTGTGTCCAAGGAGGAATAAGTGCCACCTGTGGAATCCAGCTCCTACATTTGACATTGAACTCCATTCTCAAAGCCTCTCCTCTGATTGCTTTTCTGGCATCGTGTGGAGTGTTCCCATCCCCCAGCAGCTGCTGCCCTTGAGAGCCAGCATAACTCAAAGAGGCAAAGATCATTCAGCTCCAAACACCGAGGAAATTTTGGCATCTTCCACATGGCAGGAGGCCAGCCAAGTTGTGGTCCAACCCAACCTCTGAGAGAAGGCTTTCAAAGATAGAAATGTTTTATAGCTGAGCCCCAGCTTAAGAAGTCTCCCCATGCTCTACCTGTCCCAGGGCTGGCCACAGGCCATTAGCTAAGGGAGAGACCAGAAGAGAAAGCTTTGACTCTTACTTCCTCCCCTAAATCTCCCAGACTCTGAGGGGTCTCTTTCTGTATTGGACTTGGGAGTTAAGTAAGAAGTGGGCTGGGTTCCTGTCAGAAGGCACCAAAACCCAAAGGCAGGACAGGTGTGGAGGACAGAGTCTGGCATTTGAAGCAAAGAGTTGGAGCCAGAGAAGGAACAAAAGGAAAGTCATGTCAGTCCCTGCCTTGAATGTAAAGAATTATTTGATAGTGTTTATTCTTGCTTATTTTGCTCATTCCAGTATATTTGAAGATAAAACTCTTTTTGATGAGTATTGGGCCTCTGTCCAGCAGGACCTTTCCTGGCTTAACTGAACGTTCCTCAGCATAGCTGTGTTTCCTGTAGCTTAAGAAAGAGATATATTGGGGCACCTGGGTGGCTCAGTGGGTTAAAGCCTCTGCCTTCAGCTCAGGTCATGATCCCAGGGTCCTGGGATTGAGCCCCGCATCAGGCTCTCGCTCAGCAGGGAGCCTGCTTCCGCTCTCTGCCTGCCTCGCTGCCTACTTGTGATCTCTGTCTGTCCAACGGATAAATAAAATCTTAAAAAAAAAAAAAGGCATATATTATTTTCTTTTATACTTTGGAATTGGGGCAAAGTCCTTAGATTCAGAAATGCACTGACTTTTGACTGATGGCCTCAGAAAGAATAATAAATTGGTCTTTTTTACCTGTGTGTACATCCTAGATGGTGCCAAAGGTCCCAAATCACTAAGGGCATCCAGTTCATTGGTGGTGCAAGGAGGAAAATTTAAGCGCAAGTTTGTGGATCTGGGGTAAGCATTTTGTGATGTAAACATCAAGCAAACAAACAAAAAGCTAAAAGAGGAAATGTGTTTCTCCTTTCTGACTGTGTACTGTCCTTTTAGGGCACCTTTGCGAAGGAGTTCCAACAAGGGAAAGAAATGGAAAGAGAAGGAGAAAGAAGCCACTAGGTTCTCTCCAGGTAGCAGGTACGGGTGGGTGATCTCAACTTTCTGGCCCCCCTCCTCGGTTAACCAAAATCAGCCGTCTGTGTCTATGAGCTGAAGTGATGCACCTAGAGGTGAGAGGAAAGAGAAATTGCACAGTCAATGTATATTAGTCCTACCCCAGTTGTAACCTGCACTGGCGTTGGGTATATCCATTGGCTTAATTGCAGAATTATGGTCACGTGATCGATCAAAAAACGTGTATCTACATGTGGCATAAATAGATCTATGTGATATGTCAGTTATATTTCAGGGTCTTTGCCTGGCTACCCACAATACTAATGTCCTCTTTTTTGTGAAGTCTGAAAGGGTAATTTTACATTGAAGGACCTTGTTGGTTTTTAGGACTGTTCTGTCCACATGTAGAAAGGACCATCATCTCTTGCTGGACTCAGCTGTTTGATCGATTTTCTTCAGGCCCTACCAACTATTCTCACTTTTCAAGAAAGACTTCCCTATAAAAAAGGGAGCTTTGTACTGCCTGTTGTCAAGTCTTCCCAACTGTATTCAGAGATTCCGTAATTTTAAGTTTAGATTTGTATCGTGAGGCAATAAAGCACGGAGCTTGACAGCCTGTGTTTGGATCAGAGCTCTCCCAGTTATTAACTCTCCCATCTCGGACAAGTTCTTTAACCGGTTTGCTGCCATTACCTTGTGTGAAGTAAGGATAAGTAACAGGATCTACCTAGTAACTTTAGTGTGAGGATTAAGTACGTTTTCCTGCAAAGCATGTCAAATGGCACCTAGCATGTAGGAGGTATTTAAAAATAATAATGAAGATACGGTTTGCTGTCATTATTACTTGCAAGTTACAGAGCAGATTTATAGATACCATTTTAGTCCAAGCTTGTAGGAAGGTCAGGAGGGCCAAGAGTAACACCGTACGTTATGAAGAACCTCAGCTTCATAGAATGTAATTGATTTGCCCACGATTACGCTGCAGGCAGTTGACATGACGGGGCTTGTGCCTCCTGTCCGGGTATCTTTCCAACACAACACCTCCCCTCCACTTGTTTATGCCTCAAATGATGCAGAAATCTCTTTACAAAATTTGGGAATCATTTCAACAGCAGTAGACTAAGGAAGAAACAGAATGCTAACAACGAAAGATCGTCAGATCAATTGGGAACCACGGATCCATTTTATAGGTTGTCCACTGCTGTTTCTTTTTCTCCTTTTTCTTTTTTCTGGCATACCACTTGGTGAGAAATTGTACCTTCTTCCTGGGATTATAGGAGAGTGGAGTCAGGGATGAGAAGAGAGAATTCCCAAATTAATTGTGTAAGTCTGTTATGGTGGTGTTTAATCCTGTATGACAGAGAAAGGGTAAAAAGCTCTGTTTATATTGAGGGCACCAGTCTTGGGAGAAATAAGTCCATGATCCGACTCAAAAGCAATTTAACTTTGTGTGGTTTTGAAGTGAGAAATAGAAAACAGTCTGCTGTGTGCCTTAAAATTAAGAATAGGAAATGATCAAGGATACTCAGGATAAAATACAATAAAAAGTAGAACTGTGTCAGGGAGAGAGAGATGCCCGGATACACAACTGGGAGAGGGGCTAGGACAGTTCTGTAGTAAACACTGCCTTCCTTTCGGTCCCTGCACTTCTGAGGCAGTCACTTCCTTGATCCTTGAGGCTCCGTGAGGAAAGGGATGGGAGCGAAGCATCCAGCCCTGTGGAGAAGGCTTGACTGGATTTCATCATAGTAGCCAGAGGGTATCACCTACCTCTACAAATTCCAGGTCAAAAGCAAGCAAATCTTGATTCTTTTGGTGAGTGCACACCTTACTGGAGACCAACCCCAGGGAGTCACTACCACGAATTCCTGCTTTGGAACCAGCAGCCAGACGGCTCCATATTTTTAAAATCCTAACCCTGGAGTCTTTCTGCTTCACTGGTCACAACTATTTATACATGTGCCAGTGCTACAAAATAGTTGTCAACTGGAATCATAATTTTATAATTGTCTGTAATTACAGTAGAATTTTGACAGGCCTGACAGGAATTCATGTAATTGAAATAATAGAAGAACAAGGGGAAAAGAGGGAGGACTTTTTCTGTTTCACAAAATGATTTTTTGAGCTATCACAGTAGTTGGTTAACACTAATCAAATCTAATGACAGTCTCTGTTCTTCTGTATAGATTGACAATGGGCCCAGAACCTTTTCAAACAGAAGTCAGAAAACAGAGTTACTACCCAGTAGTGACACAGGGCCCCCCGAAGGTGGGTGCGCGCCAAGCACCGTCAGTGTCAGGGTCCCGCTTGCAGTTGTGGAAGACTGGGTATGAACTCATCACCTCTGTGAGGCTTTCTCAGAGAAAAGAGGGAATGATTCCCTGATTGAGTTAGTAATCTTATCTCTTGGCTTTTCATTATTAGGCTGTAAAAATCAGAGGAGGTCATTCAATCAGTTAGAGTCTGAGGCTGCGGGACTTGAGAGGCAAGAGGAGAGGCTTGCCAAATTCAGTCTTGCTTTTAGTTTTTTCCTTCCTCAAGAGTTAAGAGTTTATTGTATTCCTTGTGGAGACCTAATGACTCAAATGCATGACAGGAAACATGAAACAAATAGATGAGGTTCAATAATTATAATAATAAATAAAACCCTACAAAAAATATGGCTCGGTTCTAGCCTTTTCAGATATGTGCTCAGTGAACGCTCTGATTTAAACAGGCAGGATAGCAGGTCACAAAAGCAGGAAAGAGTTAGTGAGTTAGTTGTCAGAGCTTGTTGACAACAAAGAGTAAAATACAATATCCTCATTTTAGAGCAAGTTGCCTCTGATGCCAGTGGAGTACCTACTTTGGAGCTCTGCGGGAGAAGCTCCTGGTTGAGTGGCTGAATGGAAAAGTGTGTGAACAGTTATGTGTGTCTCGGAACAAGGCTAGACGGTGGCGTGTGGGAAGAAGACAGGAAGGGCGATGGCACTCCTTTCTGGAGGTGAATATGCATTCCCCTTAAAAGTGTGAACTGTGGGGGAAAAACACTGTGCCAGAATCCAAGTATTCATCCTGACTTTGCCATAGGTAAGGCTCTGAATTTCTTGGACCTTGATTTCCCACCAAAAAGTAATTAGATGGATTAACACTACCTGTTCTCTAACTCCCCGTCTCTGTCTCTGTTATCCAATATGGTAGCCGTATGAGATGTAGCCATTCATTGAGCACTAGAAATGTGGCTAGTCTATATTGAGATGTGTTGTAGGAGAAAATGCATGCAGGATTTCAAAGACTTAGTATGAAAAAAAGAATATGAAATAGCTTATTAAAAATGTTATAATACTGATTACATGCTGAAATAATAATACCTTGAATATTTTGCGTTAAATAAAATACAAATTAATTTTACCTCTTCTTTTATGTGGTTACCAGAAAATTATAATTTATATATATATATAATTAATAAGATTTTATTTATTTATTTGACAGATCGTAAGTAGGCAGAGAGGCAGGCAGAGAGAGAGAGAGAGGGAAGCAGGCTCCCTGCTGAGCAGAGAACCCGATGTGGGGCTTGATCCCAGGATCCTTTTTCCTTCTACCCTCTTGGGTTTTCCAGCTGGAGTCCTGTAAATTAGGTTGGCAGATAACAGATTAACAAGGGAAAAGCATACGAATTGATTTTTATTTGACGTAAGTTTTGTGTGATGCAGGAGCCTTTATCAGGAAGTGAAGACCAAAGAAGTAGTTAAACCTGAGCACTTTAAAGCTAGGTTTGTTGAAGAGTGGAAAGTCTTGGAAAAAATGTTGAGAGGACAAAAGGGTATGAACTAAGAGTAGTAAACAGTGGAAACTTAGCAAGGCCTGTTCGTTCCCAAAACCACTGTTCCTTCAGATTCCTCTTGTGTCCTTCCATCTACAGAGATAAGGATGTTCCTTTCCTCCAGGTGTAGGGAAGGCACCTCTCTCAGAAGATCTTATGATCTGCTTGGGGGGCAGTGGGGGAAGTCAGAGAACCCTTCGTATACCTGCCATTTCTCAAATTCCTTAAAATGTTTGCTTAAAATATGTGCTAGGCCAAGTTGCCTTATTCTTTGGTAACATGTCCAGAACCCTGTCAGAAATTAAGGTTAAACACTACAGGGACTTGCAGCCATCTCAGATGGGCTGTTGGTTATTAATGGGAGCTTTGGACCATAACTGAAGGTAGAAGCAGAGTATGTCAGTGGTGGTTGGCCTGCACTGCAGATGGACACCTGCTTGTCCTAGCTGTGATCTGTCAGGCTCTCCAAGTGCCCTTAGAAGGGTCTGGCTTTACAACCACTGTCTCCTTAGTGGATGTGAGAACCTTACAGAATTACTTCATCTGAGGTGAATAAATGGAAGTCTGCAGCCCTTCCTCTGATTGCACCTAACCTCCCTTAACTAACCTCCTTAACTACCTGCTTAAATTCTATATTCTGCTTATACTTTTTCTGTTCTGGCAGTTCCTGAACTCCTAATTATATCTTGATGACATTCAGTTCTGTTCGGAATACCTCACACACCTTGTATTTGAAGTTAAGACAAATAAAAAAAATTACTATGGAATGTTTACCTGAGCAACTTAATTTTGGGGTTGACCCCAGAACGAACTGGTGTCAGGATGTATGTAATTGGGTTAACTGCTCTGTGGAGTTGTTAATTATAAACCATTTGAATGCCAGGAAACGGTGATCATCCCCACCTCATCTCACCCACCCACCCCCAACAATTTAATATGACAGAGACTTAATTTGAAGCCATTCTTTTTCCTGGTTCCTAACAATGAAACAATCAGGGTTACATCAGTGATTTGTAATTCCATTTTCACCAAAAACAATAGTGAGACATTAGTGTACAAGTTAAAAAAAAAAAAAAAAGATAAATTACAGAACACATACCTATTTTGATCCTCCTGAAATTATTTTCAGATCCATTTCTACCAGTCTTGATTTTTAAGGGCATTATTAAAGATCTCTATGGAACTTACGCACCCCAGACCATAACCTGCTCTCAGAGTCAAAAACTGCAATAGAGAGAAGGAGGGAAGGGAGGGAAGGGAAAGGGAAGGGAGGGAAACAGTAAGGAGAGAGGGAAGAATTTTACGTTATTCTTTTTTTTTTTTTTAAAGATTTTATTTATTTATTTGACAGACACAGATCACAAGTGGGAAGAGAGGCAGGCAGAGAGAGAGAGAGAGAGAGGTGGAAGCAGGCTCCCCGCTGAGCAGAGAGCCCGATACGGGGCTCGATCCCAGGACCCTGAGATCATGACCTGAGCCGAAGGCAGAGGCTTTAACCCAGCGAGCCACCCAGGTGCCCCAAATTTTACATTATTCTTAACAGATTCCTCCATCGAATGGAAGAGACTATGAGTGGTCAGTAATGGCATGACTGCTTCCAAGCTCTCTGTGCTCCTTTTGTAGGCCCAAGAGTTCAAGTTGTCTGAAAGGAAATTGGTATTTATTTTAGAAAGCATGTCTGGTAAGCTGATGGATCTGTAATTATGAAGTAATGGAGAGTTTGCTTCTTTTAATGAATATACGCTAGGTCGAAGCAAATGGAAGCACACTGACCATTCAGGATAGTAGGAGACAGTTACTTCAGTTCATGGGGTTTTAGAGTCAAGGCTAAGATACTGCCTCAGCAGGGGCACAGCCAGACCTCCTGGAGACCTGGAAAATTCTCTTCCAAGGATTCCAGGACCTAGTGGTTTGCGGTTGTGAGGACACTGGTTATTTCCTTAGAAGTGGGCTTTCTTTGCTTTCTACGTGATAATTCCTCCAGTCCTTCCATCATCTTGTATAGAAAGCTGGAGAAGAAAGCCTCCGAATGTCCCCCAAAGCTGAGCCTCCGTGATGTCATTCGTCATACTCACACTGTGGCCTCTGGTCCTGTGTTCAGTGCTGGATGTACAAGTCCTCATGGAATTATTAGTCTTGAATATTCTCCTGGCAGGAGGCTCTTACAAAAGAGTTTAATTATATGTGATCTTGAGCTTCTGTTTGAAATGTTCCATGGTCAGAATTTGAACCCAAAGTCCTTTTCAAGTTAGGCATTAGGATGACAATAGGTGGGCAACAATATTCTTATTTCCCGTCTAATTAAAAAAAAGATAGGGATGGTGGTGATTGTCCCAAAAGTGTTGTTACAAAGTTCACTTGGGAGCAGGACAAGAGAGTCATGCTGTCATTAATTATGGCCCGTTTACCAAGTTTAAAACAATATCCATATATTTAAGCACTATTGTACCTTTTTGAATCGTGGATGGAACTCTTAAAAAAAACTCCCATGCTCCTTTGAGTAACTGATTCAGAAATGTATAACCAAAGGGGGAAATAATCCTTAGGTCCAGTTTATCTCAAGCATGCCCAGTTAGAAGACTGTGGGACTGCAGAAAAAATATTTTTATGGATCTGCACAGTTAGAGCTTTCTGAGTATTTTTACTGGACTGGGGAACCTGAGCTTAAAAGTCAAGCCTTAGAAGCTAAAGTATGACTGGAAAGATAGCAAGAACTGCGGAGATTAACCTCCCATGAGGTGTGTGGTTTCATATTCAAGGAGTGGGCTGGGGCGAGGGGATGAGATCCAGCTTCATAGAGACATTCCCAGACTTGTTAGGCTGGACATGCTGGTCTTATCTCCCCCTAAGACATGTGTTACTTTCTGAAGGGTAAGAACCGAAGATCCTTCCTTAGTTGAGTTTGTTTACATGAAGGAGATAAGATGTCTCTCCCTTTCCCAGAAGGGAGGTGGGGACAGCACTACTGTCCCCATCCTATCTTATCCTCCAGATGGGTATTTTTTAAGATTCCTCACCAACAATGTAGACCAAGTATAGGATGACAGCTGGCTTTCATTCTGTCACTCTGGAGAGAAGAAAGTAGGGCATGGGGACCCAGCCCAGTAATTTTCTGTAAATAGTCACCTCTTCTCCAGTAACCTCATATTTGCATTCAGGAAAATAGAAATAAATGTCGATACTAAAAACTTCAAGAGTCAACTCAGACATTTGTTAACATACAGATTCCAGGCAAACTCCTCCCTTCCTGTCTCCCAGAGTCTAATTCAGTAAGTCTAGGTGCCCAAGAATCTGTATTTGAGCAGCTGCCCCAGGTGATTCCTGTCAGGCTTGTTTGGGAAACACCACACTGGTCTACGACCCAGGAATAGAAACCGCTTCTTCCAGAAGACCAGTCTGCCTCTGCTGCCATGGTTTCTTAAGTTCGGTTATTGTACCCAATCCCTACCCCTTCTTTTAACAGCAAGTAAGTAGACTTTGGGATACAGAATTTTTTTGGTTTAAACTTTAGGATGAGACTGAAGGTTGACACATCTCTCATTGGGCTTTCTCCATTATCCTTACAGTCCCCTTTATTTTATTTTTTTAAAGGAATTCGCCATTATAATCATCAGATATTCTGGACTCTTTAAGTGAGCAATCATGATAGTCACCCATCTTATGATCTCAGTGTTCTACCAAAACCTCACTGGCATCTCCGTTCTCTTTAGTCACTATTTTTATAATCTCTTTGCCTTTGTAAATTAACAAGATGTTTTCACATTTATTGTTCCCTTTGAGTCTCACAATAACTTTGGAAAGAACAGGAACTATTGGGAGCTGCACTGTTTATGTAAATTTGAAATATATTTTGAAATATTTGAACTAAAAAATATTTCAGAGTACTTGGAGTGAGATGTGAGAAGACCAAAGTCCTGTATGCACATGGGTCATGTGCGGTCTGGCTGTGGTGTGGAGGCACTTTTCACTGAAAGGGAATCTCTGTTGTCGTGACATCAACACCCAACAAATAATAGGCATGTGTCAAACTCATTTGGACAGATTGAGGGTTGACCTCTCCCCAGATGCACAGAAACTACCACCCATTCCTGCCTCGGCTCTTGCTGATTCCTTTTCTCTAACCAGAAGAAAAATACAAACACACAAGTATACACAGTCATAAAAATATCTGTTTTCAAACTGTGTTTCTCAAATACCTTTGAATCCTTTAAATGTTAAACAATAACCTTAGGCCTTTATACTTTCGCAGTTTCCCGGGTACTTTCACAACGTATTACCTCGTTTGATTCCTAACATAGGAGCTACATAAAATATCCACCTTTTACAGAGGAGAAATAGAGGCTGAGAGAAGGCTCAAAGCCCCGTACTCGAGAGATAACAGATCCTGGACCTCCAAATAGAGTGTTAAGACTTGTGGTCTGGTTTCCTCCTAAGGGGTGTGAGGGCTGTCGGCTGTGACATCTTTCACTCTGTCGATGCCTGGGTCGATTTGGCTAATGTGGCTGGCTAGCACTCCAATTGTGATGAAAAACCAATAAGGCGTGTGTTCTGCTTAAACTTTCATAAGCCCTAAAATTTCCAAATTATTTAAATACATCTTCTAAAGTCCCAGACTCTTGGAAGCATGAGTTCAGAGAAGGCAAGGAAAGAATGCTGGCTGAGAGCTAATGTCACTGGCGGTGAGGCACTGCTCGGTCACCCAAATAAGGGAAATGACGTGATGGTTAACCTAATAGCAGTTCCAGAAAGACGGTGCCCTGTGACTTCAGTTCAGCCACATCCACTTAATAGAAACACTTCATAAGAATTCACTGTGGCAGTAGAGATACGAAAATGTTGGCCATTATTCTAGAATCCATTTTGATGCAAAAAAGATAGCTACTAAGATTAATGTCCTCGTCAAAATTGCAAAATTGTTCCTCTCCCGTGTAGAACAATTTGTCAAACTGCTACTTTGAACTTTATTCAGAGTACCTTCAGGATTCTGTTCAACGAGTGTCACACCTGCCCTTCCTTTGTCTGACATGCGCATTTTTTCCCCATAACACAGGATCTTCAGAAGCAGGCTGGAACACTGGAAACCCAAGCCGTCCCCCGCGCCTCAGGCCTCCACCCGCTCGCCGTGCATCCCTTTCTCGTGGTTTAATGAGAGCCGAAAAGGATCCTATTCCTTCAGGGACCTGCCTTCACCTACAAGTCCCCTTCAGCCTTCTCCTGAAACTCTAATTTCAGATAAAAAGGGGTCCAAGGTAGAAAACACATGGATTTAAAAAGCAAACAAGAAAACCCCAAATCCTTGCTCCTCTCCAGTCTTTGGAAAGGATTCTCAACTTGTGTGTTTGCTCTGGACCTGAGAAACCAATGTGATAACACTCCAGTAAACCGTGCATGGTATTTCTTGTGTGGGGGAAAAGGAAAGCCTCATTTAACCATCACCTTCCTTAATGCTGTTCCATTCTAGATTGTACGTTAATCTTTGATTTGCCTGTCTTTTCACATATTGCTATTAAATCTCAGTTTGACAGTTAAGCCATGCTGGGAAAGATGCATTTGAATCATGGAACAGTATGATGGATCTGTTTACCAAGCGTTCCACTTTAAATTACATTACAAGACTATTTTTACTGTGCTCTTCGAGATTTACTGGAAAACAAATAAATTTGGGACTGAATATGTGTTCAATATATCTAAGTGAAACTCTTCAAAACAAACCAGTGCTGACATAGCACCCTTACTTATCTCTTCTTTTTAAATCAAACTTACACCTTGAAAAACTTATAATCTCATCACCAAAGTTCTCTAACTTGAGCAGAAATAGAAAATATAATTGCATGGGTGTTGTTTGTTTTTAAACGCATGATGGTTATTTCCAGCATGACGCTGCAAACCTTATCTAACATTTTATTGGAACACATACAGTGGCTAACTTTCACATGTTGTTTGGTCTCCTTTTATCTGTGTTCGCTTTTCTTTCTCAAGCAGAAATGTGTGATTAATGTGACTTGAATTTAACTCTTTTCTTGAGGTCGGCAGCTCACAAGGTCTTGACAGGGCTGTGGGTTGTGTGTCTGTTGACATATCAAATAGTAATGTGTTGTGTTCAATGCTCTCCTGCTTACATGTTCTCCTAGCCTAGCTCCGTGAGCTCGGATTTAGTCTCCATGTCGGAAGTTTGAGCAAAACTTGGGGTTTGTTTGGAACTGAATTCTGCAGCCTCTGGCACGGTAGATATTTTTGACAACCGACAGAACCCAGTGGCCAGGGAGCCTAATGGAAAACTAACGGGCCAGTTCCTAAGGAAGCAGAATATGGAACAAGATGGTGTTGGCCAAGGGCTTAGAGTTCCTCGGAAGCCAGTCATTCTAGAATTACTAGCAAAAGAAGTTTGGCACTACTAGACCACTTGGATCTTGAAACATTTGCGGTATTGGAGCTGAGAAATCTAAACGTAGTTTGCATAATTCCACCATTAGCTTGTCCTGGAGGAACTCCAGATTTGGTTTAAAAAATATTTTCACAAGTGCAGCCATGTGGTCATTCTGAATTTACTTGACTTCAGTAGCCACTGAACATTTTGATGAAGTTCTGGGGAAGTTCTTTTCTTTTCTTTTTTTTTTTTTTTAACCCCCCCCACCAACTCCACTGGCCCCAGGTGATTATTGGGAGAGTGTATCTGTTCTGCAGCCTCTTCAGAGCTCTGCAGGTGCTGTGGGGGAGTCGTATTTTAGCATGTAACGACCAGTGTATTGTCAGACTCTGACCTCCCCCAGAACTCATCATCCTGAAGGTTATATCCAGGGGACGATCTGCCTTTCCTCACAGTATTTATCACGGCAAGCGATCCTTCCCAGGGGGTGCTCGAGCTACCTTTCTAATATGGATGGCCATCTGTTCCTAATAACTCAGGCTCTCCACACCATCTTGTATTTTTACTTGTACTGTTACTCATCGTGAGTGGGGTCAAAAAAGATAGGCTTATTAATGTTACTCCTCTGAGCAGTTGCAGAGGATAATGAAGGCTGTATCCTTGAAGAGGGATTGAAGAATGATTGCTCCAAAACACCAAAACTGGGAGAAAGCGCCCAGAATTCCCCATCAGTTGCAAAAGGCACGGTACCCTCCACCACCGCCGCTTGAAGGTCATCACCAAACCAAATGTGAATTTCTCCGAAGATGACTTAAAGAGAACCTTTGTAGGACTTGCAGATACACCTACTACTGGTTCTCTCACTGTGCCCACTTAACACTGAGCTTCATTTACTTTCACAGAATTTTACCTTCAACGATGACTTCAGTCCCAGCAGTACCAGTTCGGCAGACCTCAGTGGCCTGGGAGCGGAACCCAAAACACCTGGGCTCTCTCAGTCCTTAGCGCTGTCGTCAGATGAGGTACGCTCGCGGCGCTAACGCAGACCCACCTTCTCAGATCATCCATTGTACCCTTCACCGATCCCCGAGAAAACGTAGATTTTGCGTGTAAATCATGGGGACCATGTTTTCTTGTTTGATGTGAAATCTTCATGATTTCTCTCTCTCTCAACATGAAGGCAAAGTATTATTTCTGAGTCTACTGAAAGCTCTCCAGGGACCTCCTCTGCATTACTCTGACTTCATTGAGAGGACTTTGAGCAAGGGGGTGGGCGTGGGAGGCTTGGCACCAGAGAGCAAGAATAGGGAGTGGCTCAGACCATCCATTCCCTCTCTCCCTCACCCCCCAACCATCACCCTTACCCCCTACCCCTACCCCCACCATCACACCTACCCCAAGTTGAGTGTCACCCCTGATTGACACTGCAGTGGAGAGGGGAGAAAAACTGATTTAGAAGCCAGGGTCAAGTTAGCATTGCCAAGAATTGCCAGAAGATCAGTGTGTTTCTAGAGAAATAGGAAATTACATGACTGATGGACTTAGTGTCCCAAGAGATGAGAAGAGGACAGAAATGCCACTATGAAGGGTAGGGGGCGGGAGGAGGAGAGGCCGTGTAAATAAAGATGCCATTGTTTCACATATTTGCTCAAAGTTACTTCTTTCTAACATGATTTTTGCTTTATAAAACTTTTTGTCTCCTAAATTTTTCTGCCCATCCTCTTGAGGCCTGGTGTGATTTTAATTTTAAATCTTTGTACTGTGTATGTTGTGTCTCCTAGTTCTATAACACTTTTCTTTTTGATTCCTTTGTTGCTCCCTCACTCAGAGCCTGGATATGATAGATGACGAGGTGAGCTATCAGTGGGCTGCGTGTGGTGGCTTCTGTGGTATTGTTTGAACCTCCTCTTCTCTCTCCGCAAAATGATTTGAAACCTAAACAGTACAAGAACACTTGTGTCTGCCCCGGAGGGTTTCCGTGTGTGAAATCATTTTGCTCTCTGCCCTCGTCTGTCTCTAAGTTGAAGCGATGTTTCTGAGGCAAGAGGATCACCAGGTCCTACCTGCGGAGTCCCTCGGTCGATCCCCCCCATCACCACTACCTTGACACGGTCCATTCTGTTCCACCCCCTCTGCCTTCATCTCGGCTTACCCCATCCCCTCGTCAGTTTTCCCCGAGGTGACTCCTGTCTCTCCTCCCAGACCTGTCATTGCCTTCATCGCCTCTCAGCTTAGAGGTTCTAGGAACCAAGCTGCCCTCTGTGCTGTCCAAAGTGGTGCTGTGCCCTGGGCGGAGGCAGACATTTGGAATGAACCACAGACCATTGAGCTCTCCCGTTCCCCTGCTCCGGGCTGAGCCTCACCTGACTCATTTATTAAAAGTCATTATGGACATTACCTGCCCCACCTTCCTCACGGGTTTGCTTGCTGCTCGAATGAAACCCTGGCTGTGAAATTTCCTCTCACAATGCTTGAGGACTTAAGGCTTTCCTCTTCTGAGGGGAAGATACCTCAAGATTTATACATGTATTTTTATAGACCTCTAATGTCTTCTCCGAGGCTACATGCAGAGTGATGCATTGCATATAGAGATGAATCAAATACTTGTTTTCCGCATCTCATACTCTTTCCAAAGTGTTCTAATATAAAGGCTTGCAACATTGGAGTGTATTTTCCGGTAGTAAACATCCTACGTTAATAATGCTGCTTTATCTGGGGGAATTTTTAAATTTCCAAATACCTAAAAATATATATAGGTGATAACTATGCATGTGTGGTACACACACAACTACAACCATTAACTTATTATTCATTTGATGGCATAAAGATAAATGTGGCTCTAGTAGGCAAGAAATTCCTTTTGATAGCATAATAGGCCTTGGTGAGCCGTAGCTTTTTGGTCCTTTAACAACCCTGCATAACATTCCTACCTCAGATCCTTGATGATGGACAGTCTCCCAAACACAGTCAGTGTCAGAGTCGGGCGGTCCATGAATGGAGCGTGCAGCAGGTTTCCCACTGGCTAATGAGCCTAAACCTGGAGCAGTATGTATCTGAATTCAGTGCCCAAAACGTCACTGGCGAGCAACTCCTGCAGTTGGATGGAAATAAACTTAAGGTAAAGAATTCTATCTCTGTGTGAGGTTACCAGGTGTCAGTTGTGTTGCTCGTGGCACCTGAAATGTTTCCATGAGACAAGAGTGTCCTGCCTATCTGAGAGGGAATTCTCATCATTGGTCGGCAGAAAGGACATTGCATCATTTCTGAGCAGTAAACGAAGTTTCGGAAAGTCTGTCGAGATTCCGAATCAAACAGAATGCTGCTGAGTAGGAGAGCGAGGGCCTCACTCCATTGCTTCTACCCAGACATGTGGTCCACGAAAGAAGTCTGTTGACTTCCTGTGTGGTAGGAGTTGTAATAATGGCCAATGTGGACTCTCTCATCACATGAGAGTGAAGACCTAGATCCATGAATCTTTCCTTCTTTATTCATTTCTTCTCCACCCCTGCTCCTTCCTGCACACCTCTCCAAAAGTGGGACGATAGTCTCCTTAGAACTTTCTTCCCCAAGTACGTGCAGGCCATGTCTCTCCTGCTCCATCCCACTCTCATTTCACCTGTCCAGTCCATCCCTTTCAGAGACTGTGGGGAGTGGGTGGGGACCCACCCCTGTGGAAAAAGGACAAAAAGAGCTTACATTGGGCTCCCCACCCCCAACCTCAGCCCCCTGTTGGGCTGAAGGGCAGATGAGTATCTCCTGACAGTCTTAAAAAGGTTAAAGATCAATCAATGGTCTGTGATTATGAAGGCCCCATTGACAAGGCTGTCCCTGTTGGGGAGATGGATGCATCCCGCTGTTGATTCTGAAGGTCAGGAAACATTTAGAGTATGCGACCAACTCCCCTTATTCTGAATTCTAAGCTCACTAAGCAACCTCCTCATTAACAGGAATCCTTTATAGGTCTGCCTACAGGGAGAGAATGGCTAGTCATGCTGACATGAACATTCTGGCCCCAAAGACATTTTTGGTCCTCATTGTAAGTGACTGCATTGGCAAAAAGGAAGCCACTTCAGTTCTCCCTACCCTTCTTGGGGCCCTCTATGGCAGCAGGTGCCACTCCTAGCTTTTAAAAATATTGACAAGTTTAGCGATACTCTTGCCTGTAAATGTCTATGGCCCAAAGGTTGGAGAAACAGAATTGTGCCCCCCCCCGCCTTTTAAAATTCCTTCACCCATTAGTTACCAGTTTGGCAAGCATGTATTTAATAGGATTTAAGGTGTGCTGTGCTGCACTTCAAAGGGCAAATAAAGCTTAGCCCCTAAGTGTGGAGATTTTTGGCAAATGTAAGCAGCTTTTTCTAGGTTTTTACCTCTTTGATTATGTTTAAATCAGTTTTTGAGTCTGAACACATTGTGATATCAGCCTCCTCCTAGGCAGAGAGGTCACTGGCTTTCAAGTTCAGTTTGTTTATGTATTTCCTTCCTAGGCTCTGGGAATGACGTCATCCCAGGACCGAGCCGTGATCAAAAAAAAACTCAAGGAAATGAAGGTATCTCTCGAGAAGGCTCGGAAGGCTCAAGAGAAGATGGAAAAACAAAGAGAAAAGCTGAGGAGGAAGGAGCAAGAGCAGATGCAGAGGAAGTCTAAAAAGACAGAAAAGATGACCGCTGTGTCAGAGGGTGCTGGCGAGCAGTAACGCACACCCCCTCCCAGACAGCTCTCCCCTCTTCCCGCCCTGCTCTCCTCCCGGGGACGAAGGAACTGATGGCAGGGGTAATGTGCTCTAAGCCAAGTGGGGAACCGCGTGTGGCATACCTGCATTTTCTGCAATAATAGAATACACTTTTAATTTTCGCCTCCTGAAATAATCCCAAGCCACCTTTGTTTATTACCAAACCAAGGGTCTCGTTTGTGAAAGATGCAAAATAGCTGTGTTTCTCTCTTCTCTTGCTTACCACCCTCTTGTGTTGCATTGGGTGGGTGGTGTCCCTGGGGGAATCGGTGTCACCCTGCCGAGGAAAAGCATGGTGTGTCTCGGAGCACCATGACTTTTCAGTCTGGGAATCCTGAAACTGAGCAGTGGCTTGTATCTGCATGGCCAAGAGCCTCACTCTACTGTGAGATCAGGGCTCCAGAATCTGCTCCAGTGTGTGGACAGTGTTTGTGTCTGGACAGTGAGACAACCCCACTGTAGAAACACAGGTGCCAGGCCACATAATTATATCCGGTGGCAAAAAGCAAGCAAGCTCTTCTGTTTGCTGGGCATCCGAAAGAGAGAAAAGAATTCATGATTTGTTAACCCCAGAAGGAAGCAGAAGCCTTCAGAATGTGGATGTGGGTATTACCTCAGGGTTCTGAGGGTAACATTTGTCCTCCAGATCGAGCCGAACAAAGGAAAAAATCAGAGGTTAACACAGCCCCAGGATGTTGGGATCCATTGTTTACTTTGCTCCTGCTGTGTGTTCAGTAGTTCAGCGACACAGACACACATAATGTAGTTCCTTTATTTCCCAACAAGTTGAACAGGAAATTGATTTTTAAGGAAACCAACATTTTCAGGTTTCCTCTCCTCGGGAACATTCTGGCTAGTCTTCAGCCTGACTGTGACACAATCAGGAACTTGTCACATATTTTCTACTTAAGATTTCCCAAGTGGGCTCAGTTAGTGTTTTAACAAATGTACTTTTAAGAAAAATAGAAATACCAGTTAGAGAAAATTTAGATGTGAGTAACACTCAACCAGAGAAGCAATTTTATTGAGCACACAGAATGTTCCCATAAAGGAGAGCTGACAGATTTTATAGATGTTTTGAATGGTTTTTCTGAGCCGTTCTCTTTCATTCTTTAGAGATTTCCATGTTACAGGTAAAGTTTGTTTAAGAGAGTTCACAGGAGACAGTCTACCAGCGGAGACAGTTATGCTGATTTTAAAGCCAGTATATGAAGGATTTCAGCATTTCATCCAACTAATTCAAGCAGAAGAGACTAGGGCAGAAGGAGGAGAAAATAAACTCATCTTGAGACACTTCCAATGATCAGTTATTGTTTGTTGTTGTTGTTTTGCTTTTTATGCTCGTGTTTCCGGTTCTGCGTTGGCTGTAAAAATGAGGTCATCCATTTTCCAAGGGAAGGGACGAGTTGCAGATTGAGAGTTGAGGCCAGACAAATCTTCAGCTAGTATTTTACTTCCTTTTACTACATGGTAGGGGGGGTCTTTGTCTGTACCATACACTGGACAGGTCGTATACACAGAGCTTGGGGAAGGCCTTTGAAGGTTCCAGGTAACAGATAATGTAAAGGGGGCCCTGCCCATCTAGCACCAACTTGTATTTTGGACATTGTGACTTTTTAAAAAATTTATATATATATATATATATATATATATATATATATATATATTTTTTTTTTTTTTTTGGCTTGCTGAATATCTGAAATCTGGAATTGGCTACACTAGAAACTTATAATCCTGTTTCTCCTTAAGGCCTGTTTCCTTTTTGGTAACAGAGTATTGTTTGTTCTACTTTGATCCTATTGTCCCTAGTATAGATCATTCATTCAATGCTCAGAAACATTGACATAAAGTAACATTGTGTTTTACAATGATCGGAGTCGCTATGTATGTCTTTCTATCTTCATTTGCTGTATGATAATGAAACTGCCATACTGGATAATCTATCAATATTTGAGATGTGTGGTGCTTTGCTATTTATTACTATCCTGAGAAACAAGGAATCACTATTCATGAACTACAAAATTCAGCAGATCTTTTCTAATACTAAAAGACTAAATTAGTCAAAATCTGGTAATACTAGTGCTTGCTATTGTAAATTTTTTGCCATTTTTGCTTATCTTCGGGGGAAAAAAAGTGATCTGGATCACACTGGAAGTCTTTCTCTGTATTCATTTTAGGAATGGAAATAGAGGATGATTATCTTAAGTGATGTTTACACTCTGGTAATATTTGAAAATGGCTGTACATACTGGAAATGTCTATAAGTCTCAGTCTCTGCACATAATTTATGATCTCTAGTATATCGCATTTCTTTAAACGTTTTATAAGTATTGTTCTTGAACTTTATTTGTACGCTTCCAATGTTTAGACCAATGACCAACTGAAAATATTATAAATCAAATCCTTCTTCCTCAAATCACATAGTTTGTATTATAAGTATTTTGATTTTTAAGTTAAGTTACAGTCATTTTAGGTCCTTATGAGTTATTTTAATATTACTACTTAAAACTGCTGAAATTGTAAAAGGCACTTGATTTCACTGTCCAGCCAAGGATGACCTGTAACTGATTGATCAAAGAGTATGAAAACAAAGTGCAGGACCTCAGAACTTACGAAGATTTTGTTTTCATATTATTTCTTTTCTTGACTCTAGTGCATGATGCCTAATTGAGGTTCCAGTGTCTTCAACAACTCCTACTCTAATGCTAGTGGTTTTCGATGTCCCTACAGTTTAACATAGACTTGTTGCTTCATGAACTGTAAGAACTTTGCAGTTTTTTTATTTATCAGAAAATGAATGGAAAGGGAATACCTGGTTGCTATGAACGATATTCCTTCAGTGACAGCTCAGTATGACTCTAACAATAGCCAAACTGTTTTGGGATATAGGTAATGCTTTGGGGGGTAGGGAGTGTGTGGTGAGGTCAAACTGTAGACAGGGAGCGTGAATGTCCGGGACAGAGTTTTCCATTACAGGACTTTAGTTTTTATAACAGATTACTTGATTTAAGACCACCTCCCTTAAAGTGACTCACAATCTATGTAATAGTTTTTTTCTTCTTCTTCTTCTTTTTTTTTTTTTTTTTTTTTTTTTTTTGCCTGAATCTGAAGTGTACTTCAGAGTGCTTCATTAGGGCAGGAACCTAATTTTGTCCATTTGGGCACATTGATGAAGTCCACCATTAACTTCATGACAGTAAAACTCATTCTACGTTATCCTCCTTTAGTTGAGGTTTCCAGCCCTCCACATCACGGAAGTATTTTTAACCCACAGTGGTTCGTGATGGCAGAGTGCTAGTGCTCATTCCAAATTTAGCTTTCAAGGGGCATGACATGGGACCACCTCCTCTGGGCTTCTTTGTTGTTGTTGCCAACAAAGTGCCAAGAGGACAGAGGAGGAACCCAATTAACCCTTGCTGCTGCCTTTCATCCTATGTCATCCCTGGCCCGAAATCATAAGCTGCCCCCAGGCCTGAGCTACAAAAACAGTCACAGGTTGTTGGATCTAGGACCTTAATTAACCTTTATGGTTTTTTTTGCTGAGGACAAAGAATTCTGTCTAGGTTGTTGGTGTAATAGGATTAACATGTGCTTTAAAATTATATTTTAAAAGGTAAATAAAAAATTGCATTTACATGGATGATCTAACTCATTTATGTTAAAGATTATATAGACGGAGCTTCAAGAGCAGAAACCCAATGTTTGAAGAGTCTAAAGGGAGAGGTCCCAACGATTCTAAAAGAACTGTTTATACTTTGGGGGTGTTGTAGCTCCTCATTACATTGACATATTTAAGAATTACCAAATTCAATTTGAACCACTACATTTTCTGTCCCAGTAGAACCCTGGTGAGGGGCATTTCAGTCTGGTGGAGAGTGGTCACTACAGTTCCCATCACCTACTTAGTGCTATGTCCTCAGTGCTTTCTGAAGGAAAGGTAAAATGAAAAAGAAAAGCCCAGGGTTTTTAAAAACAGCTTTTCAAATTTATCTTTAATCAAGGACCTACCCTTCTACTATTCTGAAGCTAAGCATTGAAGGATGAGGTCCAGGAATAAAATGTGCATATTTTCCACTAGAATTGTTTTCCTTCTGATAATGGGGTTGGGGAGTCAATTTTCAAAAGAAAGCCATGGTATAAGAAATATGAATGTGTTTCCGTGGCTCATTCCTGAATAACAGCCTGGGTATGTAGGCAGATTTTTGTTTTTATATTTGTCTTAGGTATTTAAAGTCTCAGGAAATTTAGTCTTGGTCCAAACCACTGGGGGGGGAATCCTACTAGACAGTACACCAGTAGTATTTGAACAATTTAGAGTAGCAGTGCAGACTTGATCCCACCAGGAAGCCAGAGGGCAAAGAGAAAGCTTACAGAATCTACTTTCCAAAATAAAAGGTTCAAGTTCTACTTAGGGCAAACAGAGGGTCTTCAGTGCTTCTGTGCGAGCGTCTGTGTGGCTGTGTCGAGGGAATGGTTCTGACTTGAAGCTCACGTACGTACGCGGTGTGGACCAATCACAGCATGTGACCTGCTTCTGGACCTACGGACAGGGGAAGGACGGAAACGGGATGATTTCCAGTCCTTGGCCCTACCCCAACCCCAAAACTGCTAGAGATTCGAGAACGAATAGGACGTAATGCCTAAGAGAACCAGAGGCAACTTCTCGATAACGTGCATGCTGCGTGTGTAGATGTACAGAACTACATATGTGTGAATATATTCCCACCTTACACGCACACACACTCCGCAATGACACTGCATAAAAAATACATATATTGTATATGGAACTTGGGCATGTCGGTTAGACCCCAAGCAGTAATCATAGCCTTATTGCCACTTTGTGTGTGTGTGTGTGTACATTGAATGACTCATAAGATTTTCAGAGATTTTTTTAATATAAGTATTTCTACTAAATGCACTTATCCTTCTACATGTTTATATATTTTGGTAAAATTGATTTATTAGATACTTGGTATTTTAGTAAGATAAAGTTTCTTCAAATGTTTGGTTAATGCTTTGATGTCAAGATTGCACATTGCTGAGTCGAACCTCAGAAATTTATGCAGCTTTGGGCATTTTCAACTGCGGACCGCAGTTTCCTTGGCTAAAAATTGCACGTGTGTTCTTGTGCATTCACTCGTGCTCCCCAGTGACCTACTTGGTAGCTGTGATGCTTCAGTCACTACCTGCTGGCTCTCTGGTGGCCCTGTTGCCATCACGTGATCATTTATTTACTTCTTCTGTGGAGTGACGGCATGGTTAGGTCAGTGCCAAACAACGATGCGAGCGGCTGTGAGCTTGAGTATGTTGTTGGAAGGTGTCCACTTCTCTTGCTTTCAGCTGTTGTATCCACACACCCAGGTTTTCTTTAAAGGATTTAAATCTTTCACCCGTGAAAGAACAATTGGCCACGAAGAGTTAAATTAACTTGAAAAGTGGGAACTAATAGGCACTCCAGCTAGATCACACCTCCCAACAACATCAGATTTAGTTAGTGTTTTGTGAAACCCCTCAAATTATCTATCTTTATCTATATATGTTTTCCTTAATATAATTTATGGTCGCCCCTACTGCTTTTGTATTTTTTAATGGTGGTGTGATTAAACCACAAGCACGCCTGCTACGTATCACTTAACAAACCTGGCCAGCTGGAAAAAGAAACAAGAGAGAATGAATTATGTTCCATCGTAAGAAGTTGATTTATTTTAACTTTTCTTTATGTATCACTAAAGGAAAAGAGTTGTTTGAAAAACTTTTTAAGTCCAATAAGTATGGATAGCATGTTATCTGAAACTTTTAATTTGTACATTTCGGTGTCTGATCATTTGCATGGAAGAGACAATAGTGCCACGTCTGAATTGTTCTCTTGTGCTTGGTTAATATGTACTTCTCTAGATTGTTCTGTTTCAAGCGACATTTCTTACTCTTTGGTTTTCAGAGGAATTTGAAGCAAGCTATCACAATGATCCTCTGTTTTCTGACCAATCTAAAAATACCTGTGATTAAATTTAATTTGTCAGTGTAAATAAATTTCTTGCCAATGAGTATTATTGTTGTTAGACAACGAATGCAATAAAAAGAGAAATACAGACATCTGTCGGAGTAGGCTGGTTTTTGGTTTGGGTTTTTCTCCCCTCTTCCATTTTCACCTTCAACTAAAACAAGCCCTGACTGGGTAAACCTCTATTAACTGTCAAAATGCATCTATCAAGCAAGAGCAGAGTGCACGTTTTCCAGGGAAGTGAAACTAAAAAATGAGTTTTAGCCCCAGCAAAGTGTAAATTGGCAGCTAGCATTAAT